GATGTTACATTCTTGCTGCTTTTTCACCGCAGTTGGGCTAAACCGATTTACACTTAAACAAGGTCTTTTTATGCCGGATGAATTTCATTCCACTTTATATGGCCTACCTGAATAATTTTCTATTAACTGACCACGTTGCTTACGCCAATTGCGCTTATCTTCGGTACATTTGTTGCGTTTGTAGCATTTTTAAGTAACTTGTGGACATTTCTTACTTATCGCGGAATCGTTGCTAACCAACTTACTTCATATGCTGATTTAGCGAAGAGTCATGCCACCGTATCTGTATGCATTATTGGGTTTGTTTTATTTCAGCTTATCGTTTAAAGTGAATGGCTGTTGTTTGATATCCCTGGTATGGTTGCGCTTGATGTGTATGTTGACAAGGTGCCTACCTGTCTATTATCCACTACATCGTTCATACTGGCTCCAGGAGACAGTTGGTCGTTGCTGGTGGGGACGGGGTGCACGGTCCTTGTGGCCGTGCTAAGTTCGAAGAGCGGTTCCATGCACTCAGTGTGGAGCGGACTACGGTCCAGCCACCTTGTGTGCGCTTGATTCCCCGAAATACAGCGTGCATGTGTTTGCCTGTGAAGGAGTGTGAGCCGGCTCCGTTGATGAAACGTGGCTCCCATGCACATGCCTCCCGGTTTTATTCCTTCTGGTTTACACTGGATATGTGGTGTGTGGATGGAGTTGTGGGGGTGCAGCGCAAGCCACCCATGGTCCCTCTGTAGGCGCAGGCCTCCTGTGGCTGACCACAGTGACACAAATCTGAAACCGGATGCCGCCGACCATGCTACTATTCGTGAACTACGCTTGGAACCGTTCAACCTCTCATGCCCACTTTGAGCTGTCGAGACAATTGGTTAGCATATTTGATAGGCATACTTTCGTTGTTGGTTTATCAGGCATGGCGAGGTATGTATGAGACGTAACACCTAGCTCACGAAATATGCTAACCAAATGTTCTCAGACCTTTAGTACTTCAATTGCTATGGATTTCAGCTAACTGATATCTAAGTGTCATTGTTGCAGTATGCAACCTGATGCTAGAGCAGGGATCTACCGAGCAGCTTAATCAAACAATTATGGCGGGTGTCCGGGTCAATACTTCATATATGAAAGCGTTGACGGGACCGTATGACCACTCCTACCGTCATGGGGCGTTACTAGACCTGAAGCATTGGGAGGTTTGTTCCATCAAGTTACTCTCCCATAACCCTGACTTAATAACAGTTTATCTCATATTGACGCATATTTTTGTATTGAACCGAATGGAGTTTGATGCAAACATTTGGTGCGCGCACCTTCAAAATTCACAATCCTCACTCAGGATTGACAGGGACTGCCCCCTGCGCTGGTTTGCGTTAACTGGAAGTCGTTCCGAAAGTCGAGTATCCGGACATCTATACCAGCGCCTAGTGAATAGAGGTTTAAGTTACAAACGATATAGCAACAACTCGCAGCACTTTTGCTAATTACAGAAGAGTAGTAGGGGGAGTTGAATGGTATAGGTAGAAATTAGTCACATCTAGACTCACTCAGACAGCCATCACGCGCTTGGAAAAGCACTGTACGCGCGTTTCATCCTTTCGGGAATCGTCAGCAGTGGTCTTAACCACGGACTGGCAACAGTCGAGTTGCGGGTTCGAGCCCTACCAAGGTCCGATGGAATGTGCACTGCTGACGATTCCCGAAAGGATGAAACGCGCGTACAGTGCTTTTCCGAGCGTGTGATGGCTGTCTGAGTGAGTCTAGATGTGACCAATTTCTACCTATACCATTCAACTCACCCTACTACTCTTCTGTAACCAGTACGCGCAGACCCAACTGCTTGTGATTCCATAAGTTACTTGGCGGCTTAACTTTGGTAAGCTCGTCGCTTGGTGAGGGGACTACCCTGTCCTCTGCACCTTAGTAACGTGCAAGTCAGTGGATAGTGAGCGGCGATATATCACATTTAGTAACTTACTCACGATGGTCGTTGTCGTCCCCCGTAGCTCAGTGTTCTCAACCACGGACTGACAACCGTCGGGTTGCGGGTTCGAACTCTACCAGGGTCCGATGGAATGCGCACTGCTGACGATTCCCGAAAGGATGAAACGCGCGTACAATGATTTTCTGGGCATGTGATGGCTGTCTGAGGGAGCCTAGGTGTGACGAACATTTGATAAACTTCACTGTTCATAACGCGGGTGCAACATTACCTTTTCCTTGAAAGACAAAGTCCGCAATGCAACAGTCCATTTAAGTGTGCTGTAGGATTGTCAACCTTGGTCTATCAGATCGACAGGAGTAAGGAAACTGATTGCGTTAGACTACGGTGCCCTCGCAGCTTAGTTCATATCTGGGGGAAACACCGCATGAGCGATGAACTTGTTTGTGGTGCAAGAAGAGCAAGTAAGCCGTTCAGCATCGTTAGGTCACGCACTAGGCTCGATGTCTTGGTCACGCATTGCGCATGCCAGCACACGGATTCCCGTGACGCGCGTTGTTTGTACAACCGAGGTGTGGATGGGAGACCACCTGATGACTTAGTCAAGTGGGTTGAAGACTCTTACTCTCACCTGCCGGATTAGAGTCCGAGAAACGACGAACACATTTGTTTGGAGAAGCCTGCTGATATGGCGAAGAGTCGACCTCAAGAGCGTTTGTGTCGTGAGTTTGTTAGTCATTCCCTCTCTCGCTTAGCCTCTCCTTCCAATCACGATTTCAATATTCATATGTAATAGAATAAAGCAAAGTGTCATGTTACCTGTTTCATTTGGTTTGGCTCGCTATTTTGCGTTTGTCTCCTTTACGTCAATATAGTTGTCGGCTGGTGGCCGATTGGTATGCGCGTCTAGTTTGCAACCATAAGGTCACCGGTTCGAATCCGCGTAGGGGTGGGAGCCTTCGCGGTATACTCAGCCCGCGCGCGACTGGTCATTCATTCATTCATTGTGCACGTCAACTAGAGGTGGGAAACACCTCAGCTACTGTGCCGCAATACATAAAGGAAAAAGAAAAATAAATACAAAAGTTGCATGCCAGCTGAGCTATCAGCAACGGATAGGCATCGTTCCGGTAAGCTACCAGCCGGCTACTAGGCAGAAAGAAAAATTATTATGTGTTGCGCTATAAAATAAGATCGTAGGTGGAGGGGGAAGCTAAAAGGGACGCGGAGGGACAAAGAAACTCACAGCAGGAACGCCAATGGGGTCGGCTCCTTACCATGTCAGCAAGTGTATCCAGACAAACTTGTTAATCGTCTTTTGGACCCCAACCAGGGAGCCGTGACGCTCCAACTGAGGCCAGCTCAGAAGTGATGGCCTTTATTCCTCTGGACCAAGTCATCGCTTGGCCACCTCTCCTCTTCTTCCATCCAGATCCCCGGCGAGCAAACAACGCACGTCGTGGAACTCGGTGGGCTGGCATGCGCAACACATGGCCGAGCCATCGGAGCCTGGTACGTGAAATGACGGTGCTGAGCGGTTCAGTTCCTTTTCCTGGGCCATAAACAAGGCGTCGAATACGCTCGTTGCTCACGCGGTGTTCCCACCAGATGTGAGCCAAACTGCGAAGGCACCGATGGTCGAACGTAACTAGCCTCTTTATGTCCGCCGATCTTAGGGGCCAGGTTTCGCAACCGTACAGTAAGGTCGAACGTACCGCTGCATTGTACACTCTACCCTTCAGGGCGAGAGTAATGTCGCGCCGCCGCCATAGGTGGCGAAGGTTAGCAAAATCATGTCGAGCTTTTGCTATACGGTTCGTGATCTCGTCTTCGATCCCAAGGGCGCTGATACAACTTCCCAGGTAATTGAATTTTTGAACGACTTCTAGCTGGTCCCCACCAAGGGTCAGCGCAGGAGGCGATCCCTTCCAATCTTGGAGGAACTCTTTGCACTTCGATAGTGCGAAGCAAAGCCCGAAGCGGCTGACAGCCTATGCTAATCTGTCGAGCGCGGCTTGGCACGTTTGAGAGCTGTCACAGATGAGGTCAATGTTGTCTGCATACTCCAAGTCAAGAAGTCGTTCTCCTGGGAGTAGTTCCACACCTTCCAAGTAATGTCCTGTAAATGCAATCTCCATGACTTCGTCAATAACGAAGTTGAAAAGGAAAGCTGACAGCGGTCATCCTTGTCTCACACCGCTGGAGATATTGAAGGGTGGCGACAACTTGCCGTAAGCCCTCACTCTGCCCGTGTTACCCGCGTATAATGCTTGGATAATATTTACATATTTCTCGGGCACACCTTTCCTGAGTAGACAATTCCAAAGGGCACATAGGTCAGCGGAATCGAAGGCACCTTTGATGTCGAGGAACACGACTAGGGTGGGCCGTCAATATGTGTGACGGTGCTCCAACAACTGAGGCAAGGTGAAGATGTGGTCGTGCGGCAGCGAAACGCCGTTACGGCGTACAGCTGACACATTTTTGTACTGTATAGCAGCACAACAGCTGTTTTTTTTTACCTCGGCTAGTTTGTGATGGTGAGCTTAGTTGTACGGCCATAGCGGCTTTAATGTATTGCAGCATCCACTGTGGCTCGTTTTTGATACTTTTTGAGGATAATATAGTATGCATTTTCTTTTAACGTGGCAACAGTGGGTCAAGTTGTTGTTCATAAGACCTCTACTCATCTGTGTAAGCGTCGTTCAACGTCTGCTGTATCTGTTCTCATGAGCAATTTCATGTTGTATACCCTCCCTGTTAACCTTTTCCTTCTACAATACTGTGGTTTCATTTTCTTCATACTTTTGCACTGCTTCGGATCACTTATAGCTTGCTAGCAAGCTCTTAACATCCAGCGCATTAATACAATGACTTCATTGGCTCCATTGCTTCACCTTATTTACATAGGTATTCCATGGATCAGTCTGTGTCCGGAAGTGTGACATTCAGCAGACCTATTGATGGCATCTGCTCTTATTCTCTAAAAGAATACCAATTTACCGCATTTTCTAACGTCGGCCTCTAATTTCGTACCACTTTCGTTATTATTCACCTGCTAATGACTTTTCCTGTCACCTTCCTCCCAGTTATTTCAACCCCGCAGAAAGCACACATAGCCTTACCTCTTGCAGGTAAATGCAGTCACGCACCTGCTCTAGTGACTCACAAGGATTCCGTGGATCATGTCGCTGTCCAGGCCCTTTTGTCCGCCTTCGCCACTGCGTCCACGTCAGGCACAGCACATCCACCACACTTGCTCCAAACGCTTGGCTTAGTACTGTTGCACTTGATTAATGGCAATGCGACTGCTCCCATACTCCCCGTCCAACGTATGACTGTGAGCTACATTGCTTTTTTGTCAACTTCGCATTGCTGTTGGGACATTTATGGCAGTGTTCGCTGATGAATGCACTTTACCTTTTTATTTCAGAAACTCCTGGCGCCTCTCACTTCCACACTAACTCAGACCGTTCATCGGACAGATTCTTTTGACAAGTGAGTTCTTTCTGTGGTCATTTTTGCTCTACCATACTGTCAATCAGGTAGGCGGATTTCCTTTGCGGTCACTGACTCATGGGATAAGGTTATGCAAATGATTCGCTCACAGCGGTCTACGTGAGAGCCGAATCAATGAAAGCCAAGCAGATTTCCGCCCTAGTCGTTGTTGCATCGACCACATACTCTTCCTCAAGTGTTAGCGTAAAGACGGTTCTTCTTGACCTGAAAGCCGCCTTCGACTCTGTTGATCGAGCCATCTTGTGACATTGCTTACCCATAAGGGGAGTGCCAGTTGAACTCCTTTCCCTTCTGTAATCTCTCTACCGTGAGCCCCGAGGCCTGGTAAGCATGTACGAGCAATTGTCTCCTGACTTTTCCACGACAAGTAGGTGTATGCCGATACTGAAGCACCGCTTTGCACCTCGAGAAGGGGAAGGACATATCTTTTCTGGATGCTTCAATCACCAATGATCCTGCATATTTTGTTTATTGGGAGGATGTCACCCATTGATGAGATGTTATTATCGTAATCTAAGTTGATCGCGCGCTTCTCTGATAAGGCCCTTATCCGAAATGTTGGGAGTCTTCTGCAGGCCCACAACAGAACGTCTCCATTTGAAAAATTGCAGAGAATCTGGGATATTTTTTATATTCACAGTCTGTTAACAGACATTGTGCCATCAGAACCGTGGCAGAAGAAAAAAGTGAAGAAGATAGGAACACGAACTGCGTGGTCCGCAACCTGGAAGACGGACTGATCCGACTGCCGCCAAACTTGTGGTTGTCTTCTTCATGCTCCTTCTCCACGTCATTGACTGTCAACCTCGGCACTTTTTCCAATCGCTCCGTGGGAGTGCAAATAGCGCTCGATGTGGAAGGCGATGGGCTGGCATGCGCAAAACGTGCCTGAGCCAACACTTGCGACGTCGGAGAATAACATCCTGAAGACTGGCACTATTTGCCCCAAGCACGCGGTCTCTCACCTCTGCGTTGCTTACGTGGTGTTGCCACCACACCCGAGCACTCTTTCGTCGACAGTGATTGTCGAAGAGTGACAACCACTTCATGTCTTCCGAGCGAATAAGCCAAGTCTCACAGCCGTACAAGAGTACTGCACAGACGGAAGCATTGTACACCCTGTCCTAGAGCTTGAGACTGGCATCACGACAACACCATAGGTGTCTCAGTTTGATGAATGCAAGGCAGGCCTTTGCAATCCGTTGTGAGACTATATCTCCAACACCGCCACCACTCATGATGCAACTCCCTGGATAAGTAAATCAAGAGACTTGCTCCAGAACATGTCCAGCAATGATGAGCGCCGGTTCAGGCATCTGCCAGTCCTGGAGCAGCGTTTTACATTTTCCCGGAGTGAAGCATAAGCCATACTTAGACGCCTCCATCGCTAAGCGGTCCAAAGCGCTCTGTATGGATTGTGGGTCGTCTCCCAGCAAGGCGATATCATCGGCGTAGTCCAAGTCCGTGACTCTATCTCCAGGGAGAAGCTCAACACCGCGGTCCTGGACACCTTCCAGTGCTCTTTGGAGAACATTTTCGATGGCGAAATTGAAGAGAAAAGGTGAAATAGGGCAACGTTGGAGAACACCGCTGGTCACAGCAAATGAAGAAGAGTGCGTACCGTAAGCCCTGATTTTGCCCGACGTGTGACTCTAAAGTTCTTTCAGGATAGTTACAAACATGTCGGGCGCACCTTTCTTCAATAAACAGTTCCACAACGCATATCTATCTACTGAATCAAATGCCTCTCGGATGTCCTAAAGCACTACGATTGTTGGC